GCAGGGGGCGGGGCAAAAGGAGCCAAGGGCCGCCCATGGCAGCGACAGCGGGGTTTGGGGACAACGCTATGGAGGAGTGCTCCTACCCTGTTTTGTTTTTCATTAATACGGCTCCCCACTTGCTGGGAGACCTCTTAAGAACTCTTAAAAGAGAATTCTTAAAAGTTAGGCTAAAGCTGTCAAAATCTCTGTTGGCTAAGACACCTTTCAACTCTAATTAGGATGTGTGGAAAACGCAGAGTGAACAGAATATAGACAAACGGCAATACAAATAAATTAGAAGGGAGAAGTAAAAAACTCTCCCTGAATGTTTATTTCGTGTAACAGTTAAAATCCTTAGTTTAAAAGAGAGGAAAGGAAATGTAAATGAATTGGTCCACTTCTGTCATCAACACGATCCATGTAAATCTGCTGCTGCTGCTGCTCAGTGTGATCAGTCACGATGCACTAGAGACTGCCAGCTTTTTCAGGTGGTCCATGAACACCTGGAGACTCACATCATCTGTCAGGATTGGAGCTCCTGATTCCTGCAGAAAAAACAAAGAAATAACAAGCCTAAAATACTGCTGGCTAACACAGGGGATGAACTGAAAGCAAATCAAATGTCTGAATTCATTGCCTGCTAAAACCTTTTTCTCCTGCAAAACCCAGATGCCACTCTTTGGCAACAGCACTGACATTATCCTCTCATACAATCTGAACTGCTGCAGGGAAGTCTCTTCTTATAAAGCACTGGGAATTTTGCTGCCCAAAGGTAAGCAAAGAGGATAAAAAAGTCTAATATTCTCAGCTAAATTAGATCTACATGTATCCATATGCCAGTTGCCTTTTCCAGAATAATAAAAATGCATGACATCCAAGCTTGAAAACTCCATTCTGATCAGCCAGTGCTACCATGATAAAGAACTAAAGACAAATGTAATGATGTTTGTGGCCCCTTGGTGAGACAAGATGGCCACTACACACACAAGCGTGTCCATGTGTATTTTAGAGCATTCCCAAACATGAGCAGCTCCTGCATTGCTTACCTGGCCCCAGGCATAGAGGTTATTGTGGGTCTGAGAAGGATTCACTTTAGACAGGAGGAACCGGGCCTGTAAAGACAAAAGAGGAGGAGTTTGGTAAAATGAGAGCCCTGTCTGCTCCTTCAGGCTTCATCCCACTCTAGATGCATGACCAGCAATGTTCCTCTGCTTTTGCAAGGTACTAATTTAACTTAAGCAGGTTTCAAGCCCAGAAATCCCTGCTCCACAGAGTTTGTCTCCCAGGGGCACTGAGTGCCCTGCTCCAGCAGGCTGTGCCCAGCTGGCAGCTCTGATTCCATGGCACAGGAAACACCAGCACTGCTCTTCTCCCCCTGCCACATCTGCTCTTCCAAAAAGGGCTCAGTGCAAGACCAGTGTAACAGGGTCACATCAAAAATCAACACCAAATCTTTGGTTTGGAGCATCAGTTCCTGCTCCTTTACTGCTACAGGTACAGTATACTGCAACTCCAGGAAGAGTGAAAATAAGAACAGTTTTATATCCTCATTCAGTGTCTGAGAGTGAAGATACAGATGGTCAATCATTCAGCATTAGTGTCCTAGCAAGCTAACTATAGACACACAGCCAAATCATTTATTTCCCACCTTTCTACTGGGGAATAAAAACATATTTAAGTTGGCTTTCCCATTTTTTCCACTCTCAGATTTCATAACCATATTCAGCAAGTGATCAGCCTATTAAAAGACAGAGTTGTAGCGAAAGCTGATAAGAAAATATGTAAGCTCTGTACTTTGAAGAGCTAAACTGTGTTTGACTACCAGAACCATCCTTTTAGAAAAGCAGAATGAGCCATTTGCTCTAGGCAGCAACAGAAAGAGTTCCTCCAGAAAGTTCCTTACCTGACTGCCCCCGTGCTCAGTGTGGATGTAACGTGGCATTGGGAATCTGGTCTGCAGGATTTCCTGGGCATCATCCAGTGGGGCTTGCAGGAGGTGCTTGAAGTTTTCATATTCAGGCATGTCTTGGTAGCCAGCTTTCTGCCATTGGGCAATAGTCTATTGATGGGACAGGGAGGAAAGGAAAATGGAGCAGAGGGGTCTACAAGCCTCCCCTTTTTACCCTGAGAATGCTACATGTGCTTCTGCTGAGGGGCAAACACACACCTTCACTGCTGTGCCTACAACATTGCTTTCTGTCCCTGAATTTAAGGCACCCCACACAAAACCTGGCAGCAATTTGTGCAGTGCCAGAGCAGTTTGTTGAAAATCTTCAATATGCTTCAGCCTGTGCCAACATAGAAATGAAACATTTATAAATCACTGACTTTTTGAATCTGGCTTGGCCTTACATGCACCATATGTCTGCAGCAATTCCTCTGTACATACACAGGTCAGACACACAGCTCTTCCCTTGTCTGAATTTTACCCACCTGCTGAGTGTCTTGCTCTGCAACAGAAAGAAATTCCTTAAGAGAATTCCAGAAGATTTTTAGAAAGGGACAGTATCTAAGCATTTCCCTCAGTCATGAGAGAAGGAACAGCAGCTTTCAAAAACATCCAGTATTTAGAACTGGAAAACTGCCTGATTTCTTGAAGAGTCTCAGTACCTAAGTATGAAAACCCTGCAAGAAAAAGTCTGTCACTCCTCTGAAAATACTTGCAACTCTGTTAAAGTATGTATCATCTTGTAACTCTGCTTTGCTTCATTTCCAGTTTCTCTGACCTTTTCCAGGCATGGTAAGGGACCCCCTTCATGGCCAAGCCAACACAACAGCTGCTATGATATCTGGTCTGTTTGAGCTAGGTCTCATAAGCTCTTGGAGATTTATATCACACCCAAGACAGCTCAGCTACCTTAGAAGGCATAAAATCAGCAGGATGGCTTCTGTGGTAGTGTTAGAAATATTAAAGATTTATAAAAGGCAAAATAACAAAATGCTTCACAGAGAAAAACTAAGCCAGATTCTTGCTCCTGGTAAAACACCTCATAAAAGTAATTGGCTCCTTTATTGTCTTCTTCTTCTTCTAGTAAATTGCTTAGGTGGAACTTTTTGGCTCCTGTCCAATTAGTTATCCTTAAGTTTGAGGTGAAGTCCCCCAGGTCCTATGAGGTGTCTTTTTACCTAATTGAGGAAAGAAACTTCTAGGCTTTTTTCCCTTTTAAGGAGACAAAAGATAGTTTTATCACTCCATCAACAGAGAGCACATTAGTGCTGTACTGCTACTTGGTGCAGAACATATCTTAGTGACTCCAGTATTATTTTTACTCTGACAGTGATGGAATTGTATTCCAACAAGCAGCATGTACATGACATGGTCATGATGCTGTGTGGGCTTTGCAAGGAGTTAGTTTGTTAATATTTCATACTAGAAGCAAAGCTGGCTGCATGCATGGCAGGAGGGAAGGATCACAAAAAGTGAAAGAGAGTGTGTTTCACCATACCTCACCAAGGTAGATCACTATCTGGAAGAAAGTATCCATCAGGAGGATTCTGTCAGGAAGAATACTGCCGCTGTCCAAAAGCACTGGCTGGGGAAAACAAAGAACAAAGTCAGGCACCCCTAAGCTCTCAGATCTCAGGATGTCAGAGAGCAATTTCTATGCCCATCCAAGTGTAATTTGATATGATCTTGAATAAAAATATCTTGTCCTTTAATTATTTTTTTTTAATCTACAAGGGCCTTTTGGCTGAAATAATGTTACTTCAACTCATTATTTTGAGTTGATTGAGCTCTTCCTGGAAAACACAGACTCACCTCAGGAGGCCCATGGAAAGAATAGGCATAAAGGATGGGCTGGATCATAATGAGGGACTGGGTCAGGTCCTGCCTGGCAAAGTGGTGCCGGTAATAGGAAGACTCATCCGGGCTGTTATTGAAGACCTGCAGGAACGGGGAGCGGCGCAGGTGGAAGATGAACTGCAGCAGAAAGGGGAGTGAGACAACAAATGTCAGCCAAAGTGCCAAAACATCTCAACCCAATTCCAGTATTTTTGAACAGCAAATTCTCTGGGGAAAAGTCTGCCCCTTAGTAACTCCTCAGACTTC